CTTCATATTAACAGCTAAACCACCATTTCCAGGGCCATTAAACTCAGTAGAACTCAGAATAAGCTGCATTTGATTACATATTTTTAACTAAAAGCCTCCTTTTAATGAAAGTCCTACAATAAAAGCCTATTTATTGCATCATTGTCACTGCCTTGCCTGATAGCCTTTTGTTTTTGCACTTCATGCCACAGTGAGAGAAGAAGATACATCTTCATTTTTCAAGTATGCTGGTGAATCTCTCAATATGTTATAATATATTCTCATTATGATTATTCTCACAGTCACACCTTGTGAGACCTCGTCATGCTGTTACATGATAGAGGTCGGTTCAAGAAAAGTTTTCGTTGTGCAAAAACTGATAGAACAGTCTGTTTTGCTCTGACACCTTGATGGCCTCTGGAGCTGGAAGAACACATGTTGTGGTTGGTTTCAGTTGCYGGTCTGAATCCCTGTGGTAGTCATACAGCGGCAGTCTGCCAGAGAACATGTAGGTTAACTGAGACCTTGAATTATTGAGTCTTGAATCAGCGTGAAGACTGAAATTATTAACCCTGGTGAGTCAATAACCAACTCTACGTCTGATAACTTTTTATCTCAATAACAGAATTTCTTCTTGTCAAAAAGACATTTCTGTTAGTAATAATTGCATATTTGCTTTTTAAATTGAAATTGATTTAAAACAGGTGTCATTACCAAAAATAAAATAATAATAGATAGGTGAGTGTAAACTGTCACTGTTGCAGGTTCCCTGTTGAAAATAGTTGGAAACAGAAAAAGTTATATTTTATTCACATCTTTGTTGTTTTTATTTTACWGTTGGCTGCTGGAACAGTTCATGAAGTCAGAGAATGGCTACAGCTTTGGGGTGTCATGTTCGCCACTTTACTGAAGGCGGAAGGGGGTCCCACAAAAGCGTTCTCCGCAGATCTGAGGAGGAAACAAAGGCAGCATTCAGAGGCTGTAATCTCTTCCGAATACAGAACCCATAATCTTGTTTGGGCCTCAAAAACATCTTATTTTGAGTCCTGTGAGGTTCCACTGACAATAATCACAGGCAGAGGACTGTGTTTCAGGTTCAACCATCAAAAACAGCAACATTTTTTAACCTACAAACCTGTAYAAAACAAGTTTTAGTTTTTGAAGAAAGAAGAAAATGTTTTAGCGTTAGATAGAATTGCACAGAATTCAGCTTCAAACACTCTTGGAGCACGTTTGGTGATCACAAGGTCATCTGGGCACAAGATTTTGTGGTACAGAGCAGCAAACAGGGCATTGTTTACCTGCTCTTGTGGAAAAATCCCTGCAGTCTGGAGGCTTCTGGTTCTTCTCCCTGGCTCTTGATCACAGGCTATGATTCTTGACCGCTCCCAGATGTAGCTCYGAGCACTCTCTGTGTGCTGCAGACAGACGACACACTTATTTGTGCTTGAACAAATAAAACATCACAATTTGATTAAAAGCTCTCATTAAGTATTTTGTTTTGAGGTATCTAGCCTCGTGAACAACTGTGGTATTCATRCTTCTCCCCCCTTTAGTCTCTACCTTTTCCTGCTCCTGCTTGTAAGCGTGTGTGTGTTCCTGATTCTAAACAAAACAAAACAAACAAACAAACAAAGCATTTAATGACAGTCTGGTATTTTTTTTTTTATCTTTCAGTCATTTTTAGTTCAACCTAGGGTTTGAGTCTTGAAATTAAAATAATATTTTGTACTTTCTAGGACTGGAAAACATCAAGTAAACAAATTATTGAAAAGCATCTGCTACCAAAAGAGAGAGGAAGGAAGGAAGGAAGGAAGGAAGGAAGGAAGGAAGGAAGGAA